GGAAAACCCCAGATTTTTGGGGAAAAAACAAAATTTTTTGGGAAGAAACCCCAAATCTTTGGGAAAATCCAAATGTTTTAGGCAAACCCCAAATTTTTTTAGGGAAAAACCACCAGAATTCCTGAGGGGAAAGGTGAGGGAAGCGCTGCCGGAGCCGTCGGATCCGGGATAAGGCCCCGATCCCGGGGGTATCGCTCTTTTATAGTCACTTTTTTACAAAAAAATCCACGTAAAAAACGAAAAAAAAGCCGAATAAACGCCGTGAGTTGAATGTCAAGGTTTTTTTTTCCTTTTGCCGATACCCCCCTGGGTTTTTTTCCAACCTCCCCCGGAATTTGGGAATTCTCACCTTTTTTTTTTCCGACGTTTTCCCGGACGTCCTCCGCAGGTGCTTCCTGGTTGAGATCCGAGTTTTCCGCCCCCAAAAGAAAAAAGAATAAAATAACATTTAAAAAAACAAAAAAAAATTAAAAAAAAAAACAAAAATACAACACGCGTGCAGATGTTACCAAAGTCAATAAAAGAAGAATAAATGATGCGATGTTGGATTTTCTTTATTTTGTTATTATTTATTTTGTCTTTTGTTTTTTAATTTAATTTTATTTATCTTTATTAAATTTATATTTAGTTTAATTTTTAAAATTTATATTTATATATAGAATATATATATAAATGTAGAATAATTTTATTTTTATTATTTATTTTAATATTTATTATTTATTTCTACATTTCATTTATTTTATTTTTCCTGTTTTTTCTCTACTCCCTTGGTCTCTCTTAACTCCTTCAGATTTGGGATTTTTGGGCAGATCCCCTCCTGTGTGAGCTTGGTGTTGGAAATTTTGGGGGAGAAAACATGCATTTTGAGGAGAAAACCCTCATTTTGAAGGGAAAAATAATTTTGAGGGGAAAAAAATTTTAAGGGGAAAAAATAATTTTGACGGGAAGTAAACTTGTTTTGAAGGGAAATAACTCATTTTGAGGGAAAAGGTCATTTTGAGGGGAAAACCCTTCATTTTGAAGGGAGGAAACTCCTCTTGAAGGGAAAAAATGTTGTTTTGAGGGGATGGTTTCCTTCCATGCCATAACACCAAGGGGAAAAATGTCAGCTGGAGGTGCCAAAAAACCCCAAATTCCTCAATGTTTTCACCCCCTGCTGATCAATTCTGTTGATGTCTTCCGTTTTTTCAGCACTTTGCCCAAGGTGAAGGTCCACAACATTGTGATCCTCATGAGGCAGGTGCTGCTCCTGCTTGGGATTCTTGGAGATCTTTTCCCATTTTTAAGGTTCTCTTTTAGCAATTCCTGAATCTCGAGGAAATTCCTGCCACAGATCTGGGGTCCAGGTAGGAAATCCTGCTTGGRTTTCCCCAAAATTCCCCCTAAATCCACCTCAGGGCCAGGTTTTAACCCAGCACAGAGGCAAAACACGGGATGGGGCGCACAGCTCCCTCCAGACGCTGCAATTCCCATTTTCCCACCAAAACCTGCGGGGATTTGGGATTTTTTTGGGGAMAARGTTGAATTATGTGATGAATAGAAAGGTTCTGGGGGATGCTACCCTTGCTGGATGGTTCCTTTCCCCTGCCAGGACCCAGAGCAGCTGCAGAGCTTTCACTGCAGCTCCAGGGCCCCGCTGTCCCTGAGCCGGGGACACCCTGGGGACACCCCCAGTGCACTCGGAGGGGATGCAGGGACCCAAAATCAGCTCGGGCTGGCAGCAGAGGGATCCTGAGTCACCCTGCAGGGACATCACTGGCACCTCTGGGTCCCGTGCGTTGTTTCCTCCCAGAGAAGAAGCTTTTGGGAAGGAACCTGGAACTTGGAACTTTCCCTCCTGCTTTAAGGGYTGAAATCCCAAAGATTCCCAGTGATTTGCGCCTGATTTGGAATCTTGGCACTGTCAGGGTTTCAGGGTAAATAAATTTATTTTTTGAGGGTAAATGAATTTATTTTCTTGCTCAGGATCCCCAAAGGGACGATTCCCACTGGGAATGTGTGTCTGTCACATCCTGGAAGGAGGCAAAGGAACCCAAACCTTTGGAATGAGCTTTTTCCGCTTCCTCCTCCTCCTTTCCCCCCTCAACCCTTTGGCATCTGGGGGCCCTTCCTGGGGTCTGAAATCTCAGAATTTGCTGCTTTTTGTGCTCCACTTCCCCACAAATCAGCAGGGATTTGTGGGAGGTTGGGATTCCAAGGCCTCCCTGCCGTCACTATCCCCAGGCAAATCCRGGTGCTCCATCAGCCCCGCATCTCTTTGGCATTTTCCCTCTGCCTCTGCCCCTTTTGGGAGGTTTTCTCTGGAATTTCAGCCCTCAGTTGCCATGGGATTCAGGAGCCAAACACTGCTTCAGGTGAGGAAAGCCTTCCTCAGTGAAAAATCCCTGATTTTAGTGTGACAGTGACACAAAAGCCACACTTTGTTCCCTTTTCCAATGAGAAATTCCTGCCCCAGTGGCATTTTTAGGGCTGAGTTCTTCATTAAATTCGATTTGGATGTTACCATGTGCTGTCCTTTCTTTCTTTAAGRAAAAAAATCTGAATTTGTCCTAAATTTCCTGCTCTGCTGGGTACTTTTTGCCCAAAAATCCCTGTTTCCCTGAGGGATTTTGCTTGGAATCGCAGAATCAGATAGAAGGTGGCTTAAAACCCCATCCCATTCCAGCTCTTACTATCCCAGGTTGTTCCCTGGGGCGCTTCCATAGATGGGGAATCCTCTGGGAATTCTATCCCAGGGTTTCCCCACCCTCACAGGGAGAAATTCCTTTCCAAAATCCCCCCTAAACCTCTGGATTCCAGCGGGAAGAAGTAGGACAGCCCTGTGTCCTGTCCCTCCATCCCTTGTCCCAAATCCCTCCCCACCTCTCCTGAAAGGTCTTCTWGGAGCTTTCCCTTCTCCAGGCTGAAAAATCCCATTTTTACCAGCCTTTCCCAGAATTTTTGGGGAAAAAAATTCAACCAGGTGCCCATTGCCAGCAGGGACCAATGACCAGAATCCCAATCCCAACCCCAAACTTCTCCCACAAACCACCTCTTTCCCCCCTTCCCCTCTTCTTTACCCCCAGCCCCATTCCACATTTCCCCCACCCCATCCCCACATTTTCCAAGAATCCTGGAGGATTTTTTGGGGGCTGCCCACAGTAGGGAACCCCCAAATTTTTGCTGCTTGGCTGAACCAGGAGGGRCCAGCCAAATCCTTTGTGCAGAACTCTCCTCATTAGCAGAGCCCCAGAGCAAAGCATTTAGAGGGCATTTTTAGGTGGAAAATCCTCGTTAATCCCCCCAATCCTCCTTAATTAATTTCCCCTGCCAATGTTTTGGAAGGATCCTCAGGTGCTCTGCCACATTTATCAGCTGCTGTTCTTGAAGCTGGGAGGGTTTAAAACTCAAAACAGTGCCCCCCAAAATTGCTTTTTAAAGTTGTTTTTTTTGCATTTAAAAATTATGATTGCTCCAAGGAAAGCTTTATCATCCACAGAGGCAAAAAGAGTACTTTTGACCCAAAAAACAGAGATGAAAGTCAGGAATTCCTCACTCAGGAGCTGCCTGGGGCCTCCTGCGTTTGCGATTCGAGGAAGTTTGTAGCTCTTAGGGGTCACTAAGCTGATTTTCTTCAAGATCATTTTTAAAAAATCCAATTTATGAGCTTTTTGCCTCTAATTAATAGCTTGATGAGGAGAGGAGTTTCCATAGGGGATTTTTTTTATGGCACAGCAAGAGGTGAGGACCATGGAGTCTTCAGCTCTCAGTGCTGTGAAACAGACCAAAATCAAGTTTTTGCGGTAAAAAAATGGGATAAAATCCATAAAAAGGAGGTGACCGCCACCCCCTGCTCTGGTGACACAAGGATTGTCCCCATCCTCATTCTGGGAYGAGAATTCTATAATCAACCCTCCTGCTTTTCCAGGATTTCCCAATTAAAATTCATATTTTTCACTGAAAAATTGTTCCCTTTTTTATTTGTTTTTTTTTTGGGGGGGGGGATTCCCCCCACCCCTCTTTTTCCCCTTTACTTTGAAGTATCCCAACCCCAAAAAGTTGGAGGTTTAACCCAAAATGAGGATTTTAAAGGGATTTTTTCCCACCTAAACTATGTTATGATGGTTGAAATGAGGAAATATTTTAATAACTCCAAACACACTCCCCCAAAAAAAGACCCAACTCAACTTTTACTTTCCACCAAAAGTTTGGTTTTTTTTTTTTTTTTTTGTGTGTGTTTTTTTAAACTCATTTCATACATGAGCACTCCTGCTGGGACGGGAAATTTGGGACAGGGAAGGGATTTGTCATAGCTGGACTGGCAATATCCCACTTGT